CCCATCCCGGCCCCCATTACTAACCTTCCTTCTATAATTCCCAGCTTAATTGACAGCAACCGAAGTGCTTCTGGAGTAGAACCATCTGCAGCCACTATCCCACAGCACTTATCGGACGCCCATCGGCAAAAGTCCCTTATAAGACCACGCTGTCCCGTTTCTATGGCGACCTTCAACGTCCGCACTCTAAGACAAACAGGTCAGCAGGCTGCACTCGCACGCACCTTGGACACACTGGGTGTTGATGTGTGTTGTGTGTCCGAAACTAGGATTAATGACCCTAACGGGGTTATTGAAATGACTGCACCCGGATTATCCTCTCGTTATTGGTTGCACGCATCCGGAGACGCCGATGCGGCACTCACCGGTCAAGCTGGTGTAGGTATCATTCTCAGCTCCAAGGCTGAGTTATCGTTGGTTGATTGGATTCCGGTGAACAGTCGTTTATGTGCAGCCCGTTTGACGACATCAGCTAAGGTGAATTCGCGAAGTAAAACAAAACGCTGTTTGTTTGTGATTTCTGCTTATGCTCCCACGGACTGCAGTTCTAATGCAGTCAAGGACACTTTCTATCACGAACTGAACACGCTGCTACGCAGTGCTACTAGTTCAGATATTATAGTACTTGCAGGGGATATGAACGCACAAGTAGGGCGTCTGAGCTCTTCAGAAGCTCAGCTGGGTGGTAATTATGGACTTAACTCCGAACGGACTGACAACGGCGAGCGTCTGCTGCAACTGTGTGCGGAGCACCAGCTGTTTCTTACTAGCACTGCTTTTAGACACAGTGGACGCCGAAGTGCCACTTGGCGTCCACCTGTAGCTGGTCAGCGATGGACTCAAATTGACCACATAGCCATAAGTTACAGGTGGCGCGGTTCCATACTGGATTGCCGCTCGTACTGGAGTACCTGTGTCGACTCTGACCATGCCTTGGTGCGTTGTCGTTTCTCCATGAACTTTACCGGAAGGCGCACGAAGCCTCTCCCCCGATTGGAAATGGAGAAATTGTCCCAGCCCTCTGTCAGGCAAGCCTATCAAGAAGCACTGCATAGCGAACTCTCGCTGTCTTGTCCTAATGATACTGAACTTCAGTGGAATAGGATATCGGCCACTACGCACGACGCAGGAGCATCTGCTTGTGGCATTATCAGTCGTCATCGCACCAGTCACTGGGTATCCGAGAGGTCCGTGGACCATTTGGAAGCTAGAAGGCTGCTGCCGGCTGGTTCTGAACACAATGTGACCAGACGGGCTATTAGGCGTGAACTAAAGCGGAGCCTACGTGCTGACAAGGAAGCCGGGTGGACCAGTCGGGCTCAAGAAATGGAGGAGGCAGGAGTAGTAGGCAATTACCGCAAGCTCTTCCAGCTAATCCGCACCACTGGTCCGAGAAAACCAGGCGTCAGTGAGACAATCAGGGACAGCGCGGGTGCGCTGATACACAATAAGCAGCGCCGTATGGCTCGTTGGGCTGAGCACTTTGAACATCAGTTCAGCTGGCCCCCTGCTCCCGGACCTCTTCCTACTCAGGTGATGCAGGACAAGCCGTGGACGGTTAGTTTAGAGCCTCCGTCGGAGGCCGAAGTCCGAAACGCGATTACAGCCCTCAATCGTTTTCGTGCCGCTGGCCCGGATTCCCTCCCACCTGCAATAGTTAAGAATGGAAGTGAGGTCCTCTGCAAAGCACTGACCTCCCTATTCGAACGCATCTGGAACGAAGAGAGTGTGCCGGCTAATTGGAGCGAATCGATTATAGTGGCAATATACAAGAAGGGCAGTCGCACAGACTGTGCGAACCACAGGGGTATTAGCCTAACACCAGTTGTGACAAAATTACTGGCCTCGATTATCGTTCGTCGCCTCACTGCAGAACGGGAATCTCGGATTAGAGAAGAGCAGGCCGGTTTTCGCCCAGGACGTGGCTGTATAGACCATATATTTACTTTGCGGCAGGTGCTAGAGCAGCGCCACGCATACCGCAGACCGACAATAGCTGTGTTCCTCGATTTCAAGAGTGCGTTCGATTCAGTCGATCGATCGATTCTGTTCGAAATACTTGCGCGGAAAGGTGTTCCCACGAAATATGTGAACATCCTTCGTGCTCTATACTCGAACACTAGAGGCCGCGTCAGGGTCTATGGTGCCCTATCGGATAGCTTTTCGACTACAAGTGGCGTTCGACAGGGTTGCCCGATTTCCCCATTTTTGTTCAATTTCGTCGTGGATTCTATCATGGAGTGTTCCCTTGCGGAGTCTCACGAAGTAGGTGTTGAAGTGCTGCCTGGTGAACGGTTAGTTGATCTAGATTATGCGGACGATATGGTCTTGCTTTTCGACAATGTTGAGGCGGCACAATCAACCCTGAATAGCCTATCCAGAGTGGTCCCATTATTTGGTATGCACTTCGCACCTTCAAAGTGCAAAGTGTTGCTGCAGGACCACCAGCCACTTGATGACCCCTTGACGCTTGCTAACGAGGAACTCGAGGTGGTTGATCAATTCACTTATCTTGGCAGCTGCATCAGCAATGATGGGCGCATAGAAACTGACGTGAGCTCACGCACTGCAAAGGCCATAGCTGCCTTCTTGAACCTGCGTCATCTTTGGCGACAGAAGGGAGTTTCCCTCCGTCTGAAAGGCCGTGTATACAAGGCCACAGTGAGGGCCGTTCTGCTCTATGGTAGTGAGACTTGGCCCCTTCGGTCGGAAGATCTGAGACGCCTTC